TGATCAAAACTGAAAGTTTCTGTGATGACTGCCCTTGTACTGTTCACCATGTAAGAACTTATTCACTATGTAAGAATTTGTTCACCATGTAAGAACTTGTTCGTTATGCTTCAGAAGATTGGAGACTGACGAGAATTAGGCTTGAGATGGATTAATGATTGTGCATTGAGCATTGACTCCCTTATACAGAATTTTATTGTTGTTAACAACCATTTGATCAATAAACATGAGAGGTGCCCTCTCAAAAAAAAAATTTACTATCCTATTATCTTGCTGGCCTTCATTTGAATACCTTACATGCATTTAGTTTCCATTTACTTATGTGTTCATTCATCCAACATATTTATTGAAGACCTAACATAAGCCTTGGACTCAGTGCTGCAAATACAGAAGTAAAAGGAAGGAAGGAAGGAAGGAAGAGAAGGAGAGAAAGAGAGAAGGGAAGAGAGAAAAGAGGAGAGGGCAAAGAAAGGAGAGAGACAGAGGCAATTGGGGGAGAAACAGAGAGAAGGGGAGAGAGACAGAGAATGGAGGAGAGAGAGGGGAGAGAGAGAAGGGGGAGAGAGAGAGAAGGAGATAAAGAGAGAAAGACAAACAAAACCTTTGCCCTCCAGGAACTTCCATTCTTACAGGAGGAAAAAAAAAGGAATATTTATCATGTGAAGGATACAAAATGATTGTCTCATTCAATAAACATTTCTTCTGCTGTATATAATTAGCTATTTAAACCATCTACTGAGTTTTTAATTTCATTTCCAGAACTTCAGTCTATCTATGTTTTCATCTTTTTGGTTATTCTTTAAGATCTCTTGACTTTTCCTACACTCTGAAGTCAGTGCCTGCCTTTTTCTCTTCCTCTTTCTATTTAAATACATTAAACATAGGGATTTTAAAAATAGGTCTGATATTTTCAGAATCTAAGGTCATTACAGGTCTATTTCTATTGTCCATGTTTCTAGTACCTCATCCATGATGCCTTGTGTGCTTTGTGATTTTTTACTATTAGTTGCTTATTCTTCTTGGCACATTATCTTTGAGAATACATTAGGGCTTGGGTCAAAAGTAAATTCCTCCAAAAGAGATGGATATTTACTTTTATCAGTAAGCTGGGGGCCTATCAGCCTGAGCCTGCTATGAAATTTTCCATTTGAAGCTTTTCCCAGCACGGGTGGCACGAATTTGGCCAGTAAACGTGTACAAGAACTGGTTCATCATTACAAATTCTCAAGGTGGTTTTTCCCCCTCCCCTATCAAGTTTCTTTACTTTCCCCTTACTCGTGGTGGGACTCATTTTTTATTCACTCTGGTACTAAAGATGTAGCTCGGTGGGATCCAACCTTTGTGGTGAGGTCTTTCAGTTTCCTCTTTTGGGCAGACATAGGGCCCATTTCTTTCCCATTGTACCCCACACACCTGTGAAAGCATAAGCTCAGGGTTTGAGAAAAATCCTCAGGGTAATGGACTGGAACAGCACTGTTAGGATGTCAAGGATCTGGCTTTGGCAGGGGTTTGGGGAGGTGGGGGGACAGACTATATATTCCTTGATTTCCTGCCATATCAGTAATACATTTAGAAAGATTTTTAAATATATCCAACTGAAATTCCTTCTTTACAAGAAGAGTAACTTGTCATATCACTGTGTGTTACGTCTTTAGTTCCTAATGCTCTGCCATACTCCAAAGTATTGTATTTTATTTGTAAGAAAATAGGTATGACATATACAAATGCCTATTATTTTCTGTGCTCAAAAATAATTTATGGTTTTATTGCAAGGACATATATTCAATACAATCCCTTCCATAAACGCTTTATTTGTAAACAGAGGGGTTTTTTTAAATCTAATTTTTCCCTTTATGACTTACTGGGTTTTTTCCAACTTAATATTTGAAAGAAAAGTGAAAGAACTGTTTTAGTTCCACCTTTTAATTTTCTTGAGTCTCCCTCTGCTTTATTTCTATACCAAAGAAGCAAGCATACTGCCATGTACAGTACAGACCAGAAAGGGGCCAAAAGTAAACTTGTTCACTGAACAAGTGTGACAGTCATGTAAGCTCTTTGAAATTCAGTTACCTCATTAACCCACTTCTGAGAAATCTATCAAATAAAAGGAAAATGCATTTTTAAACGTTACCAATTAAAGTACTATCTAAAATACAAACACTGTATTAGAAAGCATCACTGAAAACAAAAACCAAATGTGTTCACTTTTGAGGGTCCTTTGCCAATGCTACTTTGAATATGCACAAATCTTTATTCATGTGGACATCATAAAATTAAAATTACATACTTCATCTGGATATAATAAAATTTAAGGCACACATAAAACATTAATATACATAATTAGGGGTAGGTGAAGAAACCTAAAATGAAGTTTCTAGATTGGTGACAAAGTATATAATTAATATGTTATATAAAAAGAAAAAGAGGAAATGAGAAAAATCTCATTTTAGAAAAATACCTAAATGTAAAACTCCACCCAAAAACAACCAACTAGTAACTAGAAAATAATTTTGCCAAAGACAATTTGGAAAATTTACTTTCCTTAAATCTGGTAGATACACCCAGATTTCCTCTACCTTCTTCAAGTGCAGTTTAGAAGGTAGTTCAATGGATAACTAATTGCAAGGCTTGTTTAAAATGCTGACTACTGGGTCACATCCAAATCCACTAAATCAGGATATTGGGTGGTGGGCCCAGAGAATCTACATTTTAACATGCTCTACAATACCAAAACCAAAAGTTTGCCCCTTTGACTTTTGTCAAATCACTCATTTAAAAACAAGTCAAAGGTGGACACAAATAGAATATATAGGCATTCTGGTATTTAGTGCAGAACACCAAGATCCATGAAAAAAGTGACTAAAATAGAATTCTAAAAACATGTTTACTGATTACACTCACAGCTGGCTTCAAGTTTTCTTAGCAATGAGCATTGCTTCAAATGACATCTCCCCTCATTATTGGGCCACCTGACACACTTTCTTTTTTTCTCTCAGTTTTGCCAGTTTGCAGCAGGTGCAGACAAGACACAGCAGCATCTGAAAGTCTATTCAAATGTTACTGTATAAAAAAGAAGCTAACATCTCTCTTAAGGCTAAAGCCTCTGGTCTGCGAAGCCTCCGATTTCCAGCAAACTGAGAATGTTCCTGTAATAGATGTTTCAGAAAGACAACCCCCCAACTCTAATTTACTCCCCAGCCCTCACCTCTCTACTGGTGGAGCCACGATCCCAGACACAGACCCGCCCCCCCCGCCCCTCCCCCCAAGTCTCTTACATGGGCTCATCTGGCGATGCCATTTAGCAGACATAGTACAAGTTGGGGAAAATGCAGCAGTCCTGAGCAGGGGAAGCTGCTCGAGCAAGGGTAAAAGCCGAGGGCCTCTCTAGTCCAGAAGTCCAAGGAAGTTAAGTCTCGTCCCCCTTCCCGGTCCGCCCGCTGTTTGCAGGGCCCCCGGGGCCTGTCACCTGCTCGCCACCTCCCTTCCAGAAGAGGAGAGCTTCACCATATCTAGGAGGGCTCTCTTCGCAAAACAGCTTATGTTTCCACTCCCATCCCATCTCCCGCCACACTCCCGGCCGCTCATAAAATCAGACAGAAAAGAAAACACCTCAGGGCACCGTCACCATCTTCCCTTTTCCCACGGGTGCCCCACAGTGTCGCCATCCCCGCACACCGCCAGCGATTCGTATACTTGAGGCGACTGGCTGTCAGCTTTCAGCCCTCTGTCCTTTCAGTTGGCCAGAAACCACCTCGGGGTCCGGACGGCCCTCCCGCGCCTCCGCCGTGGCCCGTTCGCGGCTGCCGGGGGGTTCGGCCTGGCGCCCCGCCCCACCATTACTCGGGCTCACCTGGGCCTCGACGACGCTCGGGAGGAAGCTCAGGGTGACCAGCAGCTGCACTGCGGCCGCCGCCCCCTGCCCTGCGCCAGCCCGCCGGGCCCCCCGGCTCATGCTGACCTCTCCCCCACCGCTTCAGGCCAGGCCCCTCCGGGCGGGAGAACGCAGTTGGCCCTGGCGACAACCCCTGAGGACGGCTCCCAGCGACGGAGAGGCTCCAGGGTCCGAGGTCCGCGCGCCTGACTGGAGGCGGGGAGCACGCCTCCCGGCTCCCGACAGCTGCGAGTGAGGACGGAGCGCCGAGCGCCCCCACTTCATCCCCTAGGCGGCCCGCTCCCGGCTTCCCTTTCCTCGGCCACGCCCCCGGACGCGCGGCCTTGTGGGAGTTGTGGTCCAGTGCCGCCGCGGAGGCGCCTGCGGCAGGAAGGCGGGGCTGGAACCGAGCAACCCGGGAACTAAGGCTTCGGAGGCTGCTCCGTCTCCCTGGTCCTCAGGCTCTACGGCGGCCAATGGGGTAGAACCACGCAGGCCTCCAAAACGAAAGGAGGTGCAACTGCGGGACGGGGCGGCCTCCCTCTAGCAGGCCCGGTCGCTGCTCCCCTCCCCGGGCAGTTGCTCCTGAAATCAAGGCTGTTGTTCTCTGAGGCCGCCGGGCTTCAGAGTTGGTGCAGCACCTACGCAAACTGAGAACAAATGTTGCGGGATCTTCCCTTCTCAATCTGAAGCTTTGTCTCATTCATAGTTCCGTAGCCTCGCATCTTCTGCGGGTGGCTACGCAAGCCACCTGAGACTTGGAGAGGTGGCTTCAGCTATTTGATTTTTTACGGCCCGAAGTGCGTGTTATAGTCTGTTTTGTCCCACTCCCGCGTTGGTACAAAGCACGTTAAAGAATGGGAAGAAACACCAAAGTTTTTAATGAAATAGCGGGGTGGGGATAAATGAACCCCGCTTGACTACAGACTGGGTTCAGCTCTCAACTCTAAAACATTCCAGTTTGTTTTGTGGCTTTAGACACGTTATTTAACGTCTTTGAACCTCATTTTTGTCCATCTGTGAGTACCATAATACCTCAAACATTGTCCTATGATTACATAAGATTTTACACTAAAGCGTCTAGTATGTTACATAGCGCAAAGGAAGGATTCAATAAACGATAGCTATTAGTTTTATTAATATCCTTGATTTCTAGAAAACTAGTAATATATCACCTTACACTTATGTAGTGTACATTAGTTTCCCATCACCTCTATAACAGATTACCACAACTTTAGTTGCTTAAAACAAAACAAATTTAGAGCTCTGGAGGCCAGAAATCCAATTTGGATCAGCAGGGCTGCATTACTTCAAGAGGCTTTCCAGCACAATATGTTTCCTTGCATTTTCCAGCTTCTAGAGACCATATGCATCCTAAGGTCATGACTGTGCATCACATTGTCACCTCTTGGCCCCTTTGCTTCCATTGTTACATGCCTTTTCTTTCTGGTCCTAACTCTACTGCTCCTAGTTATAGAGACCCTTGTGATCTCATTATACCCATATCCTGGAGAGTCCAGGATAATCTCCCTATCTTAAAATACTTAAGGTAGTCACATCTGCAAAATCCTTTTTGCCATAAAGAGTAACACACAGATTGTGGGGGTTTTTGGTGAGGGTGCATTAATCAGCCTACACATAATACTTTATTCCTTTTGGAGCACTTATTCATAATTAATGGAGCCTAGTGTAAAATGAAAATGCAGGGTCCTGGTTCTAAAAATGTCAAGACAGTGACTACAGAGCATTAAACCAAGTGCAGTGCCCTTCTAGGCACAGAGCCCTGGTTGACTGCAGGTCTCATGCCCAGAAGGCAGCCCTGGTCAGTCCTTTTCCTCTTCAGCAGCTCTTTTCTAGCTTAAAAACAAATAGAATTTTTGCCTGATTCTTCCAACTACCTTTCCACGTCTCCTCTCTTCTTTGCCAAACCTCTGCTTTTGATCCTCCCATTCCCCTTTCTCTTGTTCTACTGAAGTTTCTTTCCTGTCAAATCCAGTGTAGTGGGCTCTTCTCAAGATGCCTTGTTTGTGTGCTGCATTTGAAATTACTGGTCACACATTCTGGGATTGTGTTATTAAAAATCCTGAGAATTTTTTTTTTTAGATAATTATTTTTTATTGAAGGGTAGTTGACACACAGTATTACATTAGTTTCAGGTATACAACACAGTGATTGAACATTTATATACATGATAATTCTAGGTACCAGCTATCACCATACCAAGTTGTTACAATATTTTGACTATATTCCTTATGCTATACATTACATCCCGGTTACTTATTTATTTTACAATTGGAAGTGATATATATATATATATATTTTGTGAGGGCATCTCTCATATTTATTGATCAAATGGTTGTTAACAACAATAAAATTCTGTATAGGGGGGTCAATGCTCAATGCACAATCATTAATCCACCCCAAGCCTAATTCTCGTCAGTCTCCAATCTTCTGAAGCATAACGAACAAGTTCTTACATGGTGAACGAATTCTTACAGAGTGAATAAATTCTTACATGGTGAACAGTACAAGGGCATTCATCACAGAAACTTTCGGTTTTGATCATGCAATATGACCTATAAACCATCAGGTCAAATATGAATATTCATTTGATTTTTGTACTTGATTTATATGTTGATCCCACATTTCTCCTATTATTATTATTATTTTTATTTTTAATAAAATGCTGAAGTGGTAGGTAGATGCAAGATAAAGGTAGAAAACATAGTTTAGTGCTGTAAGAAGGCAAATGTAGATGATCAGATGATCAGGTGTGTGCCTATGGACTAAGTATTAATCCAGGCTAGACAAGGGCAGCAAGACATCCACGGATGCAGAAGATTTCTCTCAAAGCAGGGGGGGTGAGGTTCTGAGCCTCACCTCTGTTGATCCCCAAATTCTCACCTGATGGCCCCCCTGCGACTGTGCCTGTCTTAGGTTGTTCCTCCCTTGAGGAATCTTACCCGTCTCTGGCTAACCAGTCATCTTCCGGGGCCATACAGGGAAATGTAAAGTTGGTAAGTGAGAGAGAAGCCATATTGTTTGCAAAGGTTAGCTTTTTACTTCTTTGCAGATTTATGCCCTGTGGCTTCTATGCCCAGCACTTGTCTCGAGGTATCTTTACCACCTGGAGGAATTATGATACTCGGTAAATTCGATATGAGGCACGAATTCTATTTAAGGTTTGTAATTAGGAAGGAAGAAGAAAAGCTATAGATGTAGCATATGAAGGAAACTTGGGAGGATTGATTATTTCTTTGACATATCTTCTTGTATAGTACCTTAAGTATGTATAGGTTTTAAACTACTAACTAATTTGCACACACATATTAACATAATAGGAATACGGTGACATAAACAAAGCAAATCTATAATTACCAGCCATCTCCAGTGAAGCCAAGAAAACCATTTAGGCACCCTAGGCATTTGTGAAAATTTATCTATGATATGATGGATATTTTCCAACTGTACTTGAACCATCAGACAAATTAAAGCAGCCCATTTCTGGGATCTGTTCACATCCCATATGTTCTTTTAACCATAGATAGTCTATAGTCATGAGATTTTGGGGTGCTACAACTTGCACCCCTCCCAACTCCTGGTTGAGTTCCAACAGTACAGATCCAGTCAAATTCGTTGTCTCACTGTATGCACATGCCAGCCTAGACATCTCCCTCCTCCTTCTTATGGCAAGTCCAGGAGACGGTGGGCTGGATGCAGCCACAACCGCAGCATCGTCCGGATCCCTGTGGAGGCTTTTTGATGATCATCCCCCGGCACGAGTCCTCCAGAGAGTGCTGATGCCGGAAGCTCCTCCTCATATCGTATCTTAGTTCATTTTCTGGGTATCCAAGCTAGGCCTTGATCTTCTGCGTAGAAACAAACAGACCCTTTGCCCACACTTTGACATGCCCTCTATACCACTGTGCAGAACTCATTGGAGGTCAGCACACAGTAACTGCTTTTTTTTTTTTTTTTAATTAAGAGAAAGGAATATTATCAGAAAAGAGTACCTCCATAGCTGATCATCTGACACCCTTTAAGTGATCAACATTAAGGATATTTAAAGCATGCGTTGATCTTTGATTTACCAATAGTTTTATCCTGTTAAGGAGTAATCCCCCTTTTCTTTCTTTCTTTCTTTTTTTTTTTTAAATTTTTAATCTACACTTACCTGAAGAATACTATGTTTACTATGCTCTCCCCTATATCAGGTCCCCCCTAACAACCACATTACGGTTACTGTCCATCAGCTTAGCAAAATGTGGTAGAGTCACTACTTGTCCTCTCTGTGTTGTGCAGCCCACCCTCCCCTTTCTCCCTCCCCCCCATGCATGCTAATCTTAATACCCCCCTTCTTCTTCCCCCCCCTTATCCCTCCCTGCCCACCCATCCTCCCCAGTTCCTTTCCCTTTGGTACCTGTTAGTCCATTTTTGGGTTCTGTAATTCTGCTGCTGTTTTGTTCCTTCAGTTTTTCCTTTGTTCCTATACTCCTCAGATGAGTGAAATCATTTGGTATTTCTCTTTCTCCGCTTGGCTTATTTCACTGAGCATAATACTCTCCAGCTCCATCCATGTTGCTGCAAATGGTTGGATTTTTCCACTTCTTATGGCTGAGTAGTATTCCATTGTGTATATGTACCACATCTTCTTTATCCATTCATCTACCGATGGACATTTAGGTTGCTTCCAATTCTTGGCTATTGTAAATAGTGCTGCGATAAACATAGGGGTGCATCTGTCTTTCTCAAACTTGATTGCTGCGTTCTTAGGGTAAATTCCTAGGAGTGGAATTCCTGGGTCAAATGGTAGGTCTGTTTTGAGCATTTTGATGCACCTCCATACTGCTTTCCACAATGGTTGAACTAATTTACATTCCCACCAGCAGTGTAGGAGGGTTCCCCTTTCTCCACAGCCTCGCCAACATTTGTTGTTGTTTGTCTTTTGGATGGCAGCTATCCTTACTGGTGTGAGGTGATACCTCATTGTAGTTTTAATTTGCATTTCTCTGATAATTAGCGATGTGGAGCATCTTTTCATGTGTCTCTTGGCCATCTGTATTTCTTTTTTGGAGAACTGTCTGTTCAGTTCCTCTGCCCATTTTTTAATTGGGTTATTTGTTTTTTGTTTGTTGAGGCGTGTGAGCTCTTTATATATTCTGGACGTCAAGCCTTTATCGGATCTGTCATTTTCAAATATATTCTCCCATACTGTAGGGTTCCTTTTTGTTCTATTGATGGTGTCTTTCGCTGTACAGAAGCTTTTCAGCTTAATGTAGTCCCACTTGCTCATTTTTGCTGTTGTTTTCCTTGCCCGGGGAGATATGTT